ATATAATATAATATAATATAATATAATATAATATAATATAATATAATATAATATAATATAATATAATATAATATAATATAATATAATATAATATAATATAATATAATATAATATAATATAATATAATATAATATAACATAACATAACATAACATAACATAACATAATATAATATATTAAGCTACAATAGGGCAATGAACGAGTAGAAGGCTGCTAGTCTTGGTCCACTCACGCCGTCGGTTACTAAAAAAGCTGGGTTTACAATACCGACTTTATGTTGGCGAATTGGCGAATTGGACCAACTTCCCAACTATACAACCGACAATCGGCAGTGTAAACGCGAAAGTCGCGCAAGCAACTGGTCGATAGCAACTAGTCGGGAGATCAGAACATGTTCTATTTTCGCCAACTCGCAGTAGCCGAATTGCGAAATTGGTCCAACTCGCCACTTTGACAGCATAAAGTCGGTAGTGTAAACCCAGCTTTAGTTTAGACGTGAGACGTGAGAATAAATAAGCATGCGCCTGATTCAAGGGGAATGTGCAAACGGTGCGCGCGCCCTCTATTTTTTGCCTAGCAAAAATTTGAAATCAAAATATGTGATTTTTTTTTGAAAGAAATTGCTGGCAGATACGTGGGAGATTGCATCTACGAGGTTTCATTCAAATAATTTTCCGATGGAAGGCCCCCGCCACGCCGCCCCCACGCTACCCCGCCCCCACGCCACACCGCACCCACGCTACACCACGAGCTTCACCTCACTGCTTGCGGTGCGCTGCGTTTCCTCTAATCATGAATCCTCCCCTGACGAGAATGCTGATTTTAACCCACGCCTTTATAACTTACTTTCAGCCCTACTCCAGAGCCGTAACCTCTGGGGGGCAAGGAGGCAGCTGCCCCGCCCTAGGTTTTGGAGCAAAATTAAAAAATAAGCTTAGCTAATAATTGTAAATAACCCTAACGTGATTTTTTTGGTTTTAACTTATCCGTGAAGGCCTTGTCTAAGACCCATCCCTACCACACTATGGACGTCGATCAACACAGTTGAGTCATGAAATTTTGCCGCCCCACCTATGAATTTGCTCAGCCTACGGCCGTGGATTCTATAAAGGAATCTATAAAGGAGTGATAGCGCAAACAAAAATGAACTAATAAAAAATATAATAAAAATTAAAGTAATCTATAAGGGGTGATAGTGCAAGCTTCTACCAACACCGGGGAATCACGTCACATTGACTATGGTCAGAATATTACTGACTCTGACGGTACTGTTATAATAGCGAGAGGACTGACGGTAGAGTTTACGTCCTGTATGTCCCTAATGCAACTGTATCTAGGCGTCGCTTCACGTGGTGATTGTGGAATTACTTCGTTTGTGGAATAAAAACCGGTAAAATAACTACATGTATTATAGAAATAAAATTTATTGTAATAATTAAATTTTCAATTAACTAATTAGAAAGAAACAACTTGAGACAGCGATGTTCATCGATAGGCGGGTCGCAAGCAGCTTTAAGTCCCATTAGCTGCTGGGTTTCACAGCGAGCGAGAAATCTCACTCCACACAACTGCACTCGGTACCATGAGGATGAGGATTCACACAAATGCTCCTCTAGCGTCCTCTATCGGAGCATTTAACGGCAGAATGGCATTACGAGGGTAACGGCCATTTTTGGTCCGAGTTACGGACACTGCAATATATATATATATACTTATCTATATATCGATGATATGTAGTTATTTATTGCAGCTCAATACGTGTCTCAGTTTACGTTTGCAAGGTGATATGCAACGTAAAATTTATTTTTGCATCAGTAGATGGCACTGCATATGTTGATCTTCGCGTGGTGTATGGGCATATGCAGGGATATGATATCTTATATATGTAGCGATAATATTAAGTAATTTGGGGAGTCATTGGTGTTTTCCTATCCTCCAAGACGTCGTCCTTCGCATGCGTAGGAGTGCGGAATCGAGGATGGAATCACTGAGCGGCATATAATAATATTGTATTATAATATTATATACGGCTCAGCGGATGGGATCAGCTAGACAGGATCATCATTGCACGGTGGCGCCATCTATGGCTACATCTTACACACAACGTCCCAGCTTCATTAGATAAGTATAAACGATTATTTGTTACGCAATATTGATAATCAATTATTCATTGCTGATCCATCAATACTCACCAATCATTGTTATTGTACAACTAACAACCATAACTGTTATCGATTATAGCCTATGAAATTTGGATGATCGATAATAGATTATTGATTATAGCCTATGAAATTTGGATGATCGATAATAGATTATTGATTATAAACTATAGAATGGATGATCGATAATAGATGATTGATTAATGATCGATGCATTCACTTACAAAGCATTCGAATAGCAGCAGATCCTGTCCCGCGGGTAGATCAACAAGAAGCCATCCTAACAGGAACATGCGCGTCGCGTCGGCAACCTCCGACGGCTTGGTGGCGCTGGCATCGCGCTCTATCGCTCGTCGGAAGTCGTCTGCAGCGCTGAGCACGTCGCTGACGTCATCGGACCAGCGGTGCGGGAAGGACGGTCGAATGCTGCTGCTGCTGGTGGTTGTGGTGGTGGTGAGCGGGCGCGTGCGCGTACCTGCGGGTACACAGAGTCTTTCACAAACGTGCACATGTTATACACACACGCGCGGGCGCATGAACGTTAGCACGCCCGCACGGACGGACGGACGGACGGACGGACGCACGCACGCACGCACACACACACACACACACACACCACACACACACACACACACACACACACACACACACACACACACACACACACACACACACACACACACACACACACAACGACGGCGCGGATTACATGCTGTTCCACGAAAT